AACTGCATTAGATTATTACAGGTATGCCTAAATAATTGATCAGTAAGTGCATATTCCCAGAACTACTTCAAGTACCGATTGGAGATTTTGCTGTGCTTCAAACATTTGCTTGATAACGGCAAACGGTTTCCCTTGAAGAGAATAGACCGTGCAAATAGCTCTGATCCAGAAAATGACAAGTGACCCATAAAGCAAAACAAAATCAAAATCCAAAGCATGAGCTGATGGTTGATGCTCAGACAAAGAAGGAAACTGGAAGATGAGTGAGATGAAAGAAAAAGAAATGAAATTTTAAAACAGAAAACATGAACTTACATGGAATTTCCAAATCACTGTTTTCTTTGGACCCAGAGGACTTCTGAAACAATGAACCTTTGGGACAGGAAGAGAAATCAGTGATGGAATGAATGTAGTGAGGGAAGGGATTACATAAAATTTAATCATATAAGTCAAATAAAATGGGACGAAGATGACAAGACAGAGGCTTCTTGATGCAGCTGCTGCTGAGCATTGCTCTTTTCTTGTTGCCACACTGGTTTGGTTACATAAATATGAACTGAGCTCTCAGAGAAAAACACAAAAACCTTGTTAAGCCACAAAAGTGAAAGAAGGAAAAAAGGATAAATTTAGAAACATTATCTGCTGTGTCACGCGGAGTGGTCCACTTAGTCGTGCCAAACAGTGGGTTTATGACACAGAAGAAGTTCTGATGTGCTGATGTATAATTGAAACGCTGGTTTATAATTTAGAAGGCAACCCAGCAACATTAAGCACTTAAAAGCTTCTTGCCTGCCCAGCTGACTCTAGAAGACCCACTGATTCAGCACTAGAGGGAAAGAAACTATAGCAAGGTTAAGTGGGCTGGTAATCACATGCAATACAAACATGCAGTGACACTTGTACATGTGACAGGTGGAATTTGGTGTTTCTTTTTCTATGCAGGAGGACCGTGTAGCATTGCTCAGAATAACAACAGTCTGCTGGAACTGCCGTACTTAAGTAGTGCAGATGGGTTTTACGTTTTTTCTTAAATGTTATCGCTGTTTTAGAAGACTTAACAATAGACTGTAAGTATATGACAGGACTTAACAGATGTAAGTTTGATCATCATAACAGAGCGGTATCAGTGTGTAACATTGATTAAAGCATGGTGGCAGTTAAATGAAGCATGAATTATTTACCATGAGCCAAAACAGAACAGAGAGAAGAGGTAGCTGACACTGCACCAAAACATTTAAGACAATGTGAAATCTAGTAAACACTAAAAACTATCACTAAATGTGATAGAGAGTGGTGGCTTTAAATGTGGATTGTTATGTGGGCTGGATGATGCTGTGCAGGACATACTGATTGTTTTGTACAATAAAGGATAAACACAATTCAGCGTTCAACCCAAACACTGAATTTAGACGAGAGCCAGTGATTGCTGTGGTTTTAGAGCCAGCAGGTTACATTTGCTCTAGTTGACCTATTGCGTTGCGTGCACACTCATGCACGTGTGTAGACGCGGGGTAGGCTGCGAGTGAAATGTCATGCCCTCAAGGATGACCCAGCTGAGCTCAGAGTGAATGTCTTCCAAGAATTCAGATCAATGTGTCATATAAATATCAACAAACCAAAATACAAGACGGAGAAAACAACTGAAAGCAAATCCGGAATCCACACATACACACAAACACACACACACACACACACAAAGACTCACATCGATGTTGCTCTCATACAAACAAAAAAAAGGGGTTTGTAGAAGCAAGGTCGAATGGATCTCTACCTCTCAGTTCAACAGGACAACTTTTTTAAAAGAAAGCAGGAGGCTGCTGAATACATTAATAGAGAAAGTGTTGAAAGTGAGAATGAGAGAGGATAAAAAGAGAGAAAGCAAAGTGCTTCTAAGCACAAAGTCAATTATGGAGAACTATCTAAAAAAACGGATCTCTCCCTCTAAATTCAGATGAAAGACAAAACCAGTTCATTCAAAACCATAAAACCTTCAAGGATGCAATTTAAATGGATGTTTCTAACACGAGTACCTAAGCACTACCATACATGTAACAATTAACTAGTTTCTCTGTTTAAAGACCAGATTTTAAAAGAGCAGCCATAAACTAAATGGATAAATGGTACAGGAGTGACTTCATGCTTCTCTAATACAGACTGTAAATATACCATTTAGAAATGTTGTGCAAGTAGAAACTTCCTCCACAAGCCCTACATAAAATGTGAACCAAAAGACACATGCATCATGGATTCCTGTTATTGCTACAGGAAACACTCGAAACATTAGTGCTGACATAAAACCATGTCTGCGCAGTCATTTTAAAGACAGGAAATCAATTACAGGAAATTAGCCTGAATCTATACCTCCCTGCGTTATATCTCAGATTGTGTGGCGTACCCTACGGGCCACAGGGAATTCTCTCCATGGATCAGCGATATGGTATGCACTACGCCGGGCTAGGAGTAGGCGTGTCTGCATATACAGTCAAAATCTGTCAATAATGAACTTTTTAAGGAATTATGTCAAATTATTCTGTAGCTCATAACACGGGCCACTGACTCCCTCCTCCTGCTTCAGTGTCCTTTGCCTCGAAAGAGACGTCACGAATAGTGAGGCAGGAGTGTTAGCCTGTCTTATTCTTCCCGAAAGTGAATTCATTCAAACTTAAGTGTAAGAAATTTAGCTAGTTACAATTAAATACAATTTCAAAACTACCATTGCCTGTCCTCGCCAAGCCATACCTGTTCAGTCTTTTTGCGATTGCACTGTCATGATCTTTGAATCCATCGTGCTGAGACCTGGAGTCTGTAGCTATTGGTCGTTTTCTTTTGATATAGTTTTCTGAGCAGTGAATCGACTGACCTTTGGGTGAACTTGCTGAATTTAGGCGATGTATTCAATGTTTCCCACTTGTGAATAGTGGAAGCTGCACTTAGTTTTTGACCGCTTTTTCTGCATTTTGGTTTAGTTTTTGATAAATAAATAACGACGCAGAGTAAAATGCAACGTGCTGTTGTGCAGCTGCGATTTTCTCTATGTGTTGAAGCCTTGCATTGAAGTGTATATTTATTTCCTTCATGTCCATCATGTCCTTTGGAATTCTTCGCTGACACAATCTGACATGAAAATAATACAACAGCATTTAAAACTGAAAGAACATTTAACTTAAGTAAAGAATAAAGGCATGTGAACAGACGAGTGAGCATGACTAGTTTTCCTTACATTTTTTGACAACAGCCAGTCTTTCATAAACAACAATGTCCATGGGTGATACCAGAATGAATGCCTCACTTCTGTGTACCCATCTATCAACAGAACTTGTGTTATATCATCAGATCCAGATGAATGTTTCCCGTATAATGTCTCTCAGCTTTATAGCGGAACATCTTCACACAAACTGAGGGAATCTGTCTCCTGACTTGAACTCCTAAAGAATTTTAACAACCAGGGAAACGTATTTGAAATGTGTGAAAATGTATTTCTGCTTGTTTGATAAAAATGTATTATATTTATCAAACAAGCATCCCCCCCCCCGACGTGTTTTCTGTATTATTAGCTGTCATTTAAAAAAACAGGGTATTTTTTTTAGTTGAGCAAGTGGCGAGACAGAGAAAGAAGTGAAGTTAATAATGACATTCTGAAACCTTCCCAGAAATAATTTGCAGCACAGAGGGAAAAAGCTCATGGTGGTGCAGAAGAAAATTACAATTGGTTACAGGAGGGCTCACAAAAGAAAGAATGAAACCAGCACGACATATTGAAGGGAATAAAATATTAATAATAAGCATAGATGACAGAAAGCAAAGAATAGCTTGAAATAATATTTAAGAGAAAATAGTGAGTTAAAAGGAATGAAATTAGGTGAGAAGATCATGTAACAGAGACAAGAAGGAAGATTGAAAGATGCTTCAGCTGGAGAAAATGACACAACTGGGCAGAAGTAGCGTAGTTCTTTTAAGTGTGTGACATAATAAATAACAACCTCTGATCAAGATTTGTATGGTTTATCACCAACTGCTGGAAGCAGAGTCGGAGCCTTTGATTTCCAATGTAACATTATTTACTAAGTTACTACTTAATAACATTTAACAGTAAGTATTAAAAATAATAATCAGAGGGCATCATGATTTGGAAGCAGCAATGTAATTAAACCGCTTTTCTAAACCATAACATTGTTGGCTATTGGGAAAACCTAACAAATTCTGAACAGAAATCAATACATGTTGTTTTTGTTCCGTATGGACCAAGAAACTCCAACAGCAGAGGAATTAGAATGAAATGCGTACAAAAAAGGAATCTAAATAAGCATCCAGTAATAACAGAAAATTGGTCTGTAATGATGGTGAATGCTGCATTATTTTAGACTAGTGTGGAGGGTTCGACTGTGACTGCGACATTGTTTCCACTAATGCATTAATCCTACCCTGTCGAATGACTCAGTTCTTTTGTTCCGTTGCCGTTGCTTTATTAATGCAAGAAAAATTCGAGGTGTGTATTTTAGCATCACATAGAAATATGGCTACGGGAGATGAGAAATGGCTCTGTTGATGCTGTTTGTATCTATATGCTAATTAGCCATGTGCTAATTATTTGAACATCTGTGTCAAGATTCTAGTCGGATGTGTCAAAACATCCTGGTTGTCGGATGAAGCCTCCATGGCTGTCCATTGCTCATTTGGATTATGACTCACTGGAAGAGTTAATAGTAACACGGTGACATAACGCCATTTTTAGGGAAGTTATCTTTTCTTTTCTGTCAGCTATTGGCATCTGTCTACAGCGTTTTGTGCTGAAATCAGCGGGCCAGCACAAGATGTTTTTATTTCTATAATTTTTTCTTGAGTGTGATCTGACTTAAATTTGAAGCCTTAATAAATTAATCCAAAAATAAATAACAGTTATTTGACTTCAGTTCTGATTAATGAGTAACAGAGGGATTGGTTCTGATAGTGTTGTGAAACTGTATAATGTTCAAAAGAGAGAGAGTTTTTAGTCAACTTACTTTGCATACAGAGTCCATCAGTGCAATTCTGAGACTGGAGCACCAAGCCATCACAGTCCTTTCCGCCATTCTTGGGCGCTGGATTGTTGCACTCTCTCCTCCTCCACTGGGTGCACTCTGTTCCACAGGCTGACCACTTACTCCACTCCGTCCACTCTCCATCCACTAAGGAAACGAGAAGAGCAATGGGGCCATGGAAGTGAAAAAAAAGCAAAATATGAGACAAGGTATAAAAGATGCCTTCAATTATGTCCCAAAGTTTCAAGAGTCGCGTGAACAAGAATTATTTTAGAGGAGAGAAGTTGGAACCAAAAAACACCAAAGCACAGAGAAAAAAGACATGCGATAAAGCAAAGTGAATTACAGTGTGGATGGTGATAGTGTAAAGAATTCCTGGTAGCCCCCCGAAACAGAATCAAATCAAACAGAACGTAATAGAATTACCAGTGCAGAGTGTTGTACAAGGCAGTTTCTGTATGGCCTGTCCATCACAGGGCAGGCCTCCGTTGAGGGGGGCAGGGTTAGTGCAGCTCCTGGTGCGCTTCTGGAAGCCGCGTCCACACCGACTGTTGCACGGGGACCACTCCGTCCATGTTGACCATCCCCCATTTACTGCCAGAGCACAGAATAGGTATTAAAGGACAGAATTATCCCTCTTGGATTCACTGCTTTATCAACAGTTCCGGCCATGTATCTCACCATGTTTACTGCACCAGTAAACAGACAAAAAAACAGTCTGCAGATTGCATCTGCACAGATCTAATCTGCAGGCAGAGTGTCTTTATCCTTATTTTACTGATCTCTTACAGTCAGTTGAGCGTTTCCTGTAAAAGTATGTTATGATGGTTGATCAGTCAGTGAAGCTTTTAATTCATCTCCTGGTTCAGATCCTTTGCTGAAGAACTAGTGTAGGTGATATCAGCTCTGTAACTACTGGTACAACAAAAATACCTCTTCTAAATCTTGACGCTGAACAAACGGCTAAAAAGACCCTTTGAACTCGTACACATACACAAAACAGGATGGCACTGATGATATATAAAGAAATCTTGTATTTCCAGTTAATCACAAATCTCAGCTTGCTGCGTCGAAACAGCTTGTTTTCTATTTTCTTTAATTCTTTTGGTTTTTCCCAGTCTTATTCGGTCTTACCCATTTCTTGTCACTTTTAACTTCACGTCTTTGTCATTATTTTTTATTAAATCTTGATATTAAGCCAAAATGAGTCATCCTGGTGGAAAAAAAGGTATCAGGGAAATCAAAGTAGTTGACGGACCATCCTGGGAACTCTGTCCAGGTTCCATGAACAGTACTCACTCCTTTCTTAAATTTGAATAAGAAATTACTTATCGATTCTTAAAGATTCAGGTACAAACTTTGTTTCTTGTTAACTATTCACTGAGGATTTCTTAACTGCTTCCTCCACTCTTCTCTCCTCACCTGCTTCCCATCCACTCACTGTCATTTCATTTTTTCCCCCTCACGTTTCTGTGTTTTTTCTGCTATTATTTCCTCTTGTCAACAGTGTCAGCCGGGCCCTTGTGGAGCTGAGAAGATTGAACCACAGATTGAACAATCTATTTCTGTAAGGATACATCAGTGTCAAACCACTCCATCTCTTGCTGTCTGTATCAAACAGACACACATGCTCAGTTATTTTGACACTCCGGCTAGTGAATAGAGTCAATGGTAAATCTGAGAGAAATACAGTTTTTAAATGTTGTGTGTGACTGATTTGCTATATATGTATATACATACACATATATTTCTAATAAAAATGCGTCCTTTAATCTCACGTCAGATCAACATTTCTTTAAAAAAAGCTGGGGGAAAGTGGGATTTAAGGCATATTATCCCTCATCAAGGTTTTTTCTTCACAGAAAGCAACAACCAAAGAGCTCTACCTCAAAAACAGCAGAAGCCACCCAAAATATTCAGTTATTTTGGTTGCTGTCGTTTTCTCCAGCTTTTACCATGCCATATGCTGCCGGATTCATTCAGAGCTGGGGCTTTTGGCTGAAAGCACAAACATTTGGAAATCTCAAGTTTTTCTAATTTAAAAGTGAAGGCTTGATTGAGAGTGGGTGGGCTGAGTTTAAATGGGGTGGGGTCAAGGTTGACATGAGAAGGCAAATTGGGGGACAACAAAGTGAGCTTTGGCATGGCAGCAGAAATTATTTCAGGTGACAGATGGGACCCGTTTGGCTGATGTCAGACACTGTTGGCTGGCTGCAGGTAGATTTTAAAAGATATCCTATCGGTAAAATTCTCAGCATTGTGTTAAAAAAACATCAGCCAAATCAGATTAATGATAAGACTCATACAGGCAAAAGCACAAACTTACCATAGACAATAACAGTCGCAGTTGTGCTTCGTCTTTTGGCCACGATGTTCTTGGCCACGCACGTGTAGTTGGCCGTGTCAGAGAGACGCGCCTGTTTGATGATCAGGTTGTGGTCAATAGTGATGTAGAAGTTTCTGTCCTCTGCTGGGTCAATGATCTCCTCATTCTTTAACCACTCCACCTGGGACGCAGAGAGAAAAACATGAAGTCAAAAAGAATCAGAGATGTCGAGCTTATGTATTGACCACGTTTACGTTTGGCAGGTTTGCAGCTAACATTAGGAAATAATACAATTTAACGTGTCTAGTCTAACATTAGATTTTGGCAACTGAGAATAAATATTATATTTAGTTATTATAGAGCTCTCAGATGTAATATATATATATGTGAGAGGTTGAAAAAAATACATAAGGATGATTTAAGGGCAAACTTTAATTTGTTTATTTTAATGAAATAGCTAAGATAGAAGAGAGCAGTTTTAGTAATTGACATGATTTTCTTTTTTTAGTCTAATTTTCCAAACTATTTAAAGGTAAAGCCAACTTAATATTTTCAGTATATGATGGTAAGCAAAAAATAATTGTTAAACTTGTCTGTGTACAGGTTTGATGCATAACTTGGCATAAATAACTCTTGATAATAATTACTAGCAATAATGTAATAATAATTAAACGGTTTTAGTAGGTAGCATCTGAGGTAGGACCAAAAGAAACTTGCTGATTATGCAGACATCACTGAGTTCACACACACATACACACGTACTGCGCCTTTCACAGCGTGGATCTTGATGGTGGCGTAGAGAAATGGAAAATGTCCAGCACATATGCTTTCACAAGGTGCTTTGGGTGAAGGGTAGGACAGCAGTGAACTATTCTATTTATGAGCCTAATCACATTTCCTGAGTGCTGTATTTACGGGTCCAAAGTCTCATAAATTCAGCCCATCCAGGCTTTATGGCAGGCACATAAATGCCCAAGCTGTGTTGTTTAATTCATGTTGTTTAATTTCCTCCTCCCTTCACATTAGGAAATGGAAATCTCAGACACAGAAAGCAGGAAATTCAGTGTTAGTTCTCAGTTTACTGTCTGCTCAGCGTTGGCAGTCATTCTTTTCCCTCAGTTATTCCACCTGCTTCTCCTCTCTGATCTTTAGAGGTCTGGAAGTACTCTTTGGCCAAGGGGCTCACTGTAGGTCTGAATTCTCAATCTGAATTGAGATGCTGTGTGACCTTTCAGTTTCTATTAAACAGATTTTTTTATTGAGAGAAAACCAAGAGCCAAAGCAGATAGAAAACCTTTGTACAAAGTAAAAATGGTATTTCAGAAAGTTTTCTCCTCCCATGTGGATGACAAAAAAAATAAAAAAAATACAGGCTTTCCGACAAACAAAAGGAAACGCAAAGCATATCATGTTGTGAGCTAAAAATAGACACTCTGCCAGGAAACACATTTGAATTGTTTCCTATTGATCTTGATAGTTTCTCATCTTGCTATGGAAAAAAAATAGCACATAAAATATCAGTAGTTGGATAATGTATTCTGCACATTAATGGCAGCTGGAATCTTCCTAAACTAAATATCTGACTTATTCTAAATAACAAAAAAAAATGTAATGCCTCTTTGATACCTGCAATAATGCTTACCTCCTACAACACTTGGATTTAGAGTGAAACCTTTAAAAAAACTAAAAATCCACATGGACTAGATGGATAAAGACTGTAATTTATAATTCTTTCAGATCTATGTATGAATGGAAGTAGAGCATTGTTTGCCATGTCTTGAGGACAAAATTAAATCGCAACACAAAATGCAATTAATTAAGGACATATTCACACATCATGTAAATCAGTTTTGAAATTAGATTTTTCTTGAGGTAAGAATAATCTTAGGTTTATGTTAAGGCTATTCTAAGAATATGTCATGAAGCACTACCCCCTCCTGTGATGGGGATGCTGCTGTGTGAAAGCACGGAGACTTGCATATGCATTTGTGCAGGCGTGTGTGTGAGAGAGCGCTTTCATTATGGACAAAGTGGGAAAAATGTAAGAAGGCTAAAGGGAAAACTCTCAAAACAAGTAAATGAAAGAAAATCTGCAAATTCCTTTTGTTCACAGTACAATCTCTGAACTCTAAGTAGCATTTCTTTCCCTGCACTTAGGCATAATGGACACCCCATTGTGTGGTTGTTAAACCCCCTGTTTGATCATGAATAAAATATATCGCAAGAGCAAATGTAACAGTATGAAATATGATCCAAAAAAGTCAAAGAAATCAAACACTTTACTCAAACTGCTTGAATTAGGTTTGCATAAATATTTGTTTCTTTCGGCTATTCATGAATATTGCTGAGCAAAATGGAATTTAAATAAACAGCTGCGACATACAGATAACGTTAAATGCTGTCCAACAGACATGTGGGATCAGCTGGGCAGAGATGTTTATCAGCACTCTTTATCCACTATTTTCTCCATTAGTTATTCATGGTTTCTAATCTAACCCAAATCAAAACATTTGCTTACCTTTTACCCCTTTTATCCCAAACCTTCTATTGAGCTACAAGGTTATGAGTCTGTAAACCCGGTCAGTATTAGCAAATGTACCATATTAACTTTTCTGTAGTGCCAAAATCTCTGCCATACGTACATGTGTGTGCCTAAGGAAAAAATATAAGCCGTTGACCAACACCAGCAGTGACAACACCACAACCTACACTGGAATTCAACCATATGACCCATTAGGGTGAATACTACTTGCGAGCTCTTGTGCGATGACGTGCTGAAAATAACTGCAGTCTTTGATGAGGTCCAAGCCTGCGAGACCGACGTGTGCTCTGGTGCCTTCAGACAAAGAGACCACATGTGGTGGCAATACCACCATTTCTCCTGCATCATTAGCCACAGCTGGGGCTGCTGTGTGTGTGCGTGATTGGCGGATGTTGGCTGATTGGATCATGGCAACCCCAAGGGAGAGCGGGTATTTGTTATTTTAACTCTCAACCTCTCATCACCTGTCTCCTCGCTCTACCCAAACACCACAGCACACACTGACGAACATACACACCTACACACACATGCTTGCATGGCGTAAAAAAAAAAGGGAAAAAAAAGGAAAAAAGGCAGAACTGAAAAAAAATATTATACTGTGGCTGTCTTATTAAAAAGCCAAAAGCCGTGAAACTGTCAGAGATACTTTCAATATTTGCTGGGTACTATCACATAAACACACACGAAACTCTCCATCAGACCACGGCATACAGAAAAACGACATAAACCCTTTGTCTTCTGTTTCAACTGTAACAAAGAAAAGTTCAACAAGAGTCCATTGTTTATCTGCAGAAAAGTATATATCACACGTCCTCTTTAACAAAAGGATAAGGCTTTTGTACGATCAGTTACACTCTCCCTTTGTTCATGTCTTGTCTCTGCTTCACCAGTGATTAATCATCTTTTTTATGGGAATATTTCAAGCCACCTGCATCTTAAAGATAGATAAAAGCAGATTACATAGTTTGCAACAGCACACTTTTGGGAAGTGATGCGTGTTCCAACATATCTTTTCCAGTGAGGACAGATAAATTCAAATATAGAAATACTCCCATCTGTTTTCTTACTTTTGGAAAAATCATATAAGGAAGGGGGGTTATTTATTATATGTGTCTCTCTGCTGGAAGGAACAAAAAAAAACACATGCTTGCAGATGAATGATAAAAGTGGGCCAAGATGTGAAGATGCATGAATATTCTCTTTTGTTGGCGAGCAGAAGAAAATGTTTTGAACGACAAAGCTTTGAGGCATATCTGCTATTCAGAGAGGGAACATCATAGCCGAACAGTGTTACCTAGAGAAATGCTGCATCAATCTTGCAAAGTCAAAACAAATGGCAGGCCACAGAACAAGAAGTAAGATAACAGAGGGAAGAACATCTATGAGGAATGCTAAACTACGACTTACTTTGAACAGCAACCATAGTATCGTAAGGGAGTTGATAACAGCTCAGAGATACAGGGTGGAATTTAAAGCTCAAACGCAACATTTCTGTTTCAACGTGGTAGCAGCTGCACACAAGCAGTGGGGTAAGACCCCCAAAAAAACATATTTACGGTAAAACTTACAATTATAATCAAACTGTTAAGCTTAATATAATATAAGCATAATGTTAAAAAAAAAAAAAAAAAAAGTTTTATATGCACGCTCGCCACTGTGTATTACGCACTTGATTAGCTACATTATCTGCATCCTTATAAGACCAAAGATGAGTGGGTTAAAGAGCTTCGATGTGATTAATCCACCTACATGTGGGTGTTTCCGTGTTTTAATAATTCCAACCCCCAGCGAGTAGAACCACAAGATTATAGACAAGGGAGAGATCCATATTTATGACTTGAAAGAAATCAGTTTCAATTTTAGCTTCATTAGTCCTTGTGGCACAGTTTAGTTTGAATCAATCTGAAAATGTGCTAAAATAGAGCAATGAAATGCTTTATGGAAATAAAATTAAGAAAATTTACAGGTAGAGCGGAACGCTGTGAACATCACGTCGGTGTCAAGCAAAGTGCTATCGACTGCTATGAATTACTTTAATTCTGAGATAATTAGTTGTGGAAAATATATTCAAGGAGAAACATTTACAGCTAGATTTTGTCCAAGATTTTGACATATGTCTTATAAGTGCAAGACAGAAGGATTGAACGTGTAGGGTTCTTTCAATCGCTAGTCAAAAGTGTGAAAGTACCTTTTAAAAAATTAAAAAGGCATGTCGAGCCTCAGAGGTACAGATGGTTGTGTGTAGAAAACCATGATATGCAGTATATGTATTCCTCCTTGCTTTTTTCAGAACGTACATTGATTTGTTTTTTTCACATTGAATACTAAAGTTTCCTGCTTAAAGCTGATCCAGCTGACAAACCTTTCACGCACAGTTGTGAAGTGAAAGCATTTCCTGTCACCTCCTTTTTTGAGCAAGAGGTAATGTGGTTGCCCATAACGTCTTGATATGCATATCAGACTGCTTAAATCCAGCCATCTCAGTTTCCTTTACCACTCAATCTCCAGCGAGCGCACACGTTCATATACACGCATATACGAACGCATCACAGCCAGATGTTCCCCTCTCATTATTACTGGCTCTAACTTGCATATATAAAGCCATCACTGTAATTGCTTTGCTTGTTTCCATTATCAAA